CTATGTTTTTGTTGAGTGTTTGTAAGTGTTTTTTTAATCAGTTTCTTATTTTTCTGATCAAATTATGTTATTTTAACTGGAATTTTTTTTTTATATTCGGTGCTGTAAATATTGTAACTTGTGACATTGGAGCCAAGAAAAAAGAAAAAACAAATTCATTAAACCCAAATATAAGTGAAAATGAATAATTCTTGATCGAGCTTATATTAATTTCCTTAAAGTATAAGATTTGGTAGTCAATGAAACTCGTTCATTTTGTCCTATTATCTTAAGTTATATAAAACAAAAACTTCTACCGTCTTTAACGCGAATATAGAAAGTATATAAACTTTTAAGTTATTTTCAAATATAATGTAAATTATTATATGAAGTTGTGTTGATTATTTGTATGTATAATGTGATGAAGTCAAGTCCACTATTATCATTTTTTAATGGACTTTGCTTTGGTGATATCTCCAAGGACTGGATAAAGATATCCAAAGTCCAACGGAAATTAGTTTTTAATTGCACAAAAAGTTAAATATTACTACTAACATTCCTTAAGCTTTTAGTATATTCTCTACCTCAAACACGGAAAGCGTGATCGTGTCAATATCAATTATTCAATGCGTGTCAATATTCTCAATTCTCAAAAGCGGGGAAATTAAAAGATTTGTGAAAGTCGAAGGTAAATTTACATATCAAATCGTAAACGAATAAAGTGATTTATTAAAGATTGAAAAATATATGTATAAATATATTCAGAACAACAATATACCCTAAAATATCACAAAATAGTGAAATTGGGAAATATAATATTTTATTTGAATCATTAGTTTCAATCTGATTTAAAAGGTAGAAATCTTTTTTTTAACGCTTGATTTTATTGAAATTGATTTAGAATAGATTACATCACTGAAGAAGTTCAACATATGCGATACAAAGAGAAACTAATGGTCTTTTCCGACAATAATCGTTAACGACACATAAGCGATACCAAGATGATCTTGTTTCGAATCGAAGATAGACAAGTATGTACTCCTGAATCTACAATAGCAGCCGAACATCCAATATTTATTACGATAATATGACAACAATTCTCTTACTTTAGATAAATCTCCTTCTTTGATTGCCTTTGTCAATTTTGTTTTGAGTTGGCTTAAGTGAAGCCGCCGTTGGACAACTTTGAACTGCAAAACTTAAATCAAATAGATAGCCAAGATTGACTAAATACTAACAAACTATAGATCTTCTACGAGGAAAAAGAAACCTCAACCAAAAACTTCACCCATAAAACTAAACCCAATGAAAAAATCACAAACTAATCCCAATGAAAGGAATCACAAACTATATCTAAAAAAGTCAGACGGTGTATAACATCACATCGTCTTCCAATAAAAAAAAACTCTCATGGACATCCCTTATACTCCATATCGAACATAAAGTTACAACCATCTCCCTCTCACGAAGCCGGTAAAAGTACCGGATGTCGAAGAGGGAGGAAAAAGGTAGAAATCTATATCGTCTACTCATTAACCAAAAGATTACAATGCAATGTAGTGTAAATAAAATTGTTTTGTGGTCTCGTGCATCAAGAGTAAAGTTATTTACCGTGAGTGTAGTATACGAAGAATCGTTCACCGTAAATCTATATGGTATAAATAAAACTCTCTGTTGTGAAATCATTTGTGGAACTATTTATTTATACTCTGAGGTGATATTAAATTTGTTGGTTAAGAATGTAATATAAAAATCATCTTAGATTAAAACAAAAAAAATAGCATCTACTGTAACAAGATGAAGAAGAACATGATTCTAACTTGGCCCACTAATGGCAAAGAGTTAAAAGGATTCGTAAGCCCATTAACTTAATGGTTTTCTGTTTTGCAGTCCATATTTCCCGCCTGTTTTCAAAGGCATTTCAGTTTTTTTCATTAGAACATAAACAAATTTTACTAAAACAAGAATCCTTCAACAAAATCAAAAACGATAAACAAAAAATTCGTTTTTTTCTAGTTTGATTATTGTTTTGTATGTACTGCAAATATAAATCTTTCGTCAATAATCGTCATTAATCACAATCCTAAATCCAAACTTCAATAATAAAAAAAATGAAACAATTCGCCGGACTTCTCTTCCTCTGCATCGTTCTTCTCTCTTCCTTCGCCGGAAATGCCGATTCCGATCTAATCTCCAATCTCTGCAAACACACCAACGATCCAAAACTCTGTCTCTCAAGCATAAATTCACGTCCCGAATCCGGCGAATTCGCCGGCACAACCAGCCAAATCGAAATCATAGCTATCTCCGCCGCATCGGCCAACGCCTCCGCAACTTCCGGTTACATCAAAGAAAAACTCAGCCACGAAGATCTTGAGCCAGCGATCGAGGCTACGCTCGAAGATTGTCAGAAGAATTACCAAGACGCCGTGGAACAGCTCGACGATTCGATCTCCGCGATGCTCGCCAACGCTCACGCAGACGTGGACGTGTGGCTACGCGCGGCGATAAGCGCGATCGAGTCTTGCGGAAGCGCGTTGGAGTCACGCGCCGGGAGTGATGAGGAGCTTTCTAAGAAGAACTCTGTTTTTCTCAGGCTGTGCAAAAATGCTTTGGTGATTAACAAAATGTTGACTTGAGATTTTTATATTATTATTTATCTACAAAATTTGAATCTGTTGTATTATATTTGGTTCTTTTCCTTTTTTTTTCTTGGATTGAACAAAAAAAAAAATTAAGAGGAGATAATCTTATTATTTATCAATGATCAAATTCAAATAAACATAACAAATATTGTAACCCGGCCCAAAGAGTATTAGCCCAAATTTTGAAAGCCCATAAATAGGCCAACTAGTGTTGTTTAAACCACATTTTTTTTTTCAAATTTGTTGTTAACAATGTAAAACCAAAATTTACCACTATTTACAATTGATCAATTTACGTATATGGTTTGAGGTCGTATTAGGTAAATTATGAAATATTCAATATTAATAATGCTTTCAATTCAATCTTGATGAAACCTAATCCTTTGATTTATTCAAATTGAGCGTCTCTACTTTCAACAAGTCTCACAAACACTATGATTAAATGGTGTTGAAAAAACTTACGTAAAAGCGAAAACAAATCCAATAAAAACGAAACCAATGGTGGAAATCTACTCGATCCATATTGCAATTTTTCCTAGTCAAATTGTTTACCAAATTCCAACTTCATAGTTGACCTACCGATACCACACCTTCATAACGTAACGAAGTTAATATTTTGATTTTTCTGTATATATAAAAGCGTTACATTTCTAAATAATTTATGGTGAATTATAATAATCAGAGTGTCAAATTTAGGTGACAATCAAGATTGATGATATTTTTTGGAAATGTACGGTCAGGATCAATTGGAACATCAAATCTAAAGAGGTTGCTTGTAAGATAGGTTGGATTAGATTCTAGATTCAATGTCCCACAAAATGACAAAATCACAGATACCTTTCTTCTCCACTTGGACCAATTATCTTTACACACTTGTTATACCCTTTAATTATTCATTTCCCATTTAAAATTAATTCATCACTCATCATACCCACTAGGTAATTGAAATATAAGCTTTAATTTGTGACTATTATTATAGATTTTTTTTTTTTATCAAAAGTTTTTCATTATATGGTAACCTATGTGACTAGAAAAAAAAACAGAGTGACCTATGTGAATGATTTCAAACAATTTGCATATCAAAGATGAGATCATAAGAGAAAACTTGCACTCTTTAAAGGAATTCAAGATTCCAATAAGACCCCACCAAATTGTTTTGTCTTTCCTCTTAACAATGATAGAATATTGCTTTCTTCTTTTTTGAAATATCTATGAATGAAACTATATTTTATCAACCAACTTGATTATACTAATCATACTTTGGTTATTCAAGTAGCTATAAGGGGGACATCCATTACAAAAGCAAATTATAATGGTTAGGGAAGGACTGATTCAATTTTAGTAAACCAGAAATCAAGTGTGGTGATGAGCATGGAAAGAATGATATTAATATGCATATACTGATTTTTTTTCTTTTTGAATCAATTAATAAGTATGGGAAATTTCAAGTTGATGAATCAGATGATTTTATAAGTTGCGAAAGAGTGGGCAAAGGAACCAAGTTGGTATAGAAATGCACGCAAATCTATATGAGAGCTGAAAATAACACTTTCACATTAATCTATATAATTCTTCTTTGTCACGCAAATTTATACATAATAATTAAAGTAGAATCGCCTACCTTGGAAGCACACAATATATTCCAATTGCTTCCATCACACTTCTATGCTTAAACTTCACAATCTTTAGTATAAAAATAAGAGAATGGGATCTTAAACAACACACAGAAACTCTAGAGATAGGTTCATAATAAATAAGATCTTCATATATTTCTGTATAATAAACACTTGCACTATCGTGACAAAAAAAAAAAATCAATTACACTATCAAATTATTATGCATTTGGGTTAATTAGTGGGATAATTTGTCCAATAACCTAAAAAAAGATATTTAAGCAAATAACCAATCCCCTATATGGCACAATCACAACCACTAGATTTAA